CCCCAAAACCCCAAAACCCCAAAACCCCGAGAGATAAATAGATTATGAAATAAATTTGAAATTAAAGAAATCATAATATATTAACTATATTGTATTTAAGAAGCGAATAGTTTAAAATTTCAATTTTCACCTAAGGATTTGGTAATTTCCCTTTTTAACAAGATAATTTTCAAAATCTTCTCTGAATCGAGACTTATCATTGTCATAGTCAATTTATAAATTTTCCCCGAATGGATCATCTAATTTCTCATTCTAACTTAGATCGCTACGCTTAATTTGTTTACTTGATGGCCTTCTAAGTTGATTTGTTGAGCCGTGCTCTTTAGCGCTATTAGTAAAAGATTATAAAGACTCCTTATCATCAGTCCCAGTTATCAGAGGCTCATCTTGCTTGTTTGGATTTTTCGCAAACTAGCCAGAGTATTAAGCTAGCTTCTTTACTTTGAATATATTCTTCCTACTTGTTACATGATAAATAGCAGCAGAAGACTGCAGCATGCCTAGCAAAGTGGGAGCCTCATCTATTTCATCCATTTCATTAGCCTCTCTTGTGGAGTGAAATATTTGAAATCCACTTGTAATCATTATAGCTATGTAATCCAGAAGTTGTTTAATATCCTGCTAATATAACTTAGACTGAATTTCAAATTCATGAATTGTGTGCTTGGCAGTGTCCTTTATCATTCCTAATCTGTTGATTTCCTCATGCATAAACTTTATATCTATGTCATGATACTTTTTCTAGTAAAGTCTAATTACTTCCTTGAGCTTGTTTGTTTTCACTTTGAAATTAGCTTTATATCCACGAGCAATTTCCAACTGCTAATCTTTTTCCTATCCTTGTTCTTTCAAAAAGTCTATTTCTTTCTATTTATCATTGAATTGATCAATACATCTTTAAGCATTTTATTGCTCATTCCTTAGTTCAGTTTTGATGCCTTATATCAGAATTTCATAATCTCCTTTCACATTTTGATATAGGAAATCAAGCTGATTGAATCTAGCTAAGAGCTACAGACTATCTCTAGATTGATCAGATATTATCTAATACAACTGCTCAGTCTCCTCAGTAAAGGTTTCAGTTAGGTACTGTATTTGCTGCTCATACTATATTTTTACTTCGTTAATCATTTTCTATATTTTCTTTTTCTTTGATGGATCATTCCCATCATCTACAAAAGTATTAAATACCGTTAATATCTTTAAATTTGGTAGCTGATTTACCATTGATAATCATTAATAGGAAAAGCCCTACTTACGTTGATTCTTCAGCGAGATGTCCATATTAAGCGAGATGTTATTCCATAGTCCTCAGTTGCTTTTATTATCCTGCTCTTATATAAGTCGCCTGTTTAATTCTACAAGTTACTCGTTTTCAAGTTAAAGCTGCTCATTCAGAGATCTCAGTTATCTGATCAAGTTATGGTTTTCTTTTTCACTTTTCTCCAGCTGATTAATGTTAAATCCGGTATCCTATAATCGTTATCTTAATAGTAACGTACTCTGAAATTCTGAGACTGGTGGAGGTAGAAGGTTGAATCAGTTTATCTGAAATCCTTTTCTTGGGCTTTTCTTCACCTCGTTTATTTAATTAAATTCTGTTTTAATTCCTCTATTACTTTAGGATCATCATACCGCCTATTATGATCCTTAAGGATTCGGGTATGGCTATAAGGTTTTTTAAAGCTATTAGTCAGCCTAAAAAATTCAGAAGGCTCATCTACATCCTCATCCTTTCTTTATTTCGGCAGCAAATTCTTTTGATTCAATAAATTTGGGGTCTGTTAGGGTTGATTTTCTTGAGCGTTGTATTTAGGTGTTGTTAGTACAGCCTAGAAAAAGTTATAACCTGAATCACAATCTCTTACTCCCTGAGATCTATACATACTCTGGGGAGAGGCCTAAGAGTTTTGAATGTTTTGTAATTATCCATAATCTGGAAATTCTTAGTCCTGTTGTTTCGGGATTTTTAATACAAATGAACTCTTAGATTCTTATACCCAATCTAAATTTCCGTTTGATTGGACTTTTCTGTGAGTTTAGTTACTGTTAATAGCTCTTATGTCAATATTTTATTTGATATTCGACATTCCTGAAAAGAAATTTGTTGATGTTTTAGTGGCATTTTCAATCTAGCTATTTCTTCTGTTAAAGAAATCAGAATTTGTATAACTTTTTATATCTTTATCCATACTTTGCTAAGCTTAATTCTTCGGCGAGGGTTGCTTGCTAAACACTTTAAGTCTTCCAAAAGAGCTTCTATAAACTTTTCCAATATCTCTAAAATATTGGAATCATAAATTACTTGAAATTACTTAAAGGTTTCTGGAGATCTATTACTACAATTCTACTTATATAGCATAAAATAAGAACTGTCCATATTATTAGTTACCGAGAATTATACTTTTATTAACTTTATTATTAGACGAACTCCCAAAATAAATCAAGTGAATTAATATTTTATAACTCAAATTTAACCTACTTTCTACAATCCTGGGGTTTTGGGGTTTTGGGGTTTTGGG